AAATTTTTTATTAAAATAAAGTTAGATTAATTTAAACATATTTAATTTAATTTAGTTAAATTAAAGCAGCTATAGTAGAACATGCTTTGAAACAGATTCAAAATGTATCAAATCGGTTTCAAGTTGTTTTTGCATCGAATCTAAATCAGATTCAATTTCGATTCAGATTCGGATTCAGATCAAATTAAATCAAATTCAGATTCAAATCGAATCGGATCAAACTGTTAAGGTTTCGAATCAGATTAGATCAGTTTAAAACGAATCGGATTTATATCCGATTCATATTTATAAAAATCGGATCAGATCGAATCTAGTTAAAATCTAATCTGATTCGATCTGTTGTGATCACTAACTAGAAGATTACTTTAAAATTTATAGAAAGGTTAATAATTTAATTTTAAAGATAATATTGGGTTTAAATATAAGCTGTTTATTTAAAAAGATATAATTTTTTAAAGACAGATTAAGTTTTTAAAAGATTTTTTATTCTAATAATAATTTTAATTAATACTTTTACTATAAGTAATAATGATAAATATTATTTAATAATCTAGATAATTATGCTAAAGAAAAAGTTATGTTAAAAGTTTTAACAAAGATTTTTAGTTTATAATTTTTTTGCAAACTATATATTAGCAATAAAAAATCTATCAACTGAAAAAAATCTCTTATGGGGTTTTTTTTTATAAAATAAATCAAATCTTTATTTTTTATAAGAGTTAATAAAACTTGATTATCAAGAATAGATAACTTTAATACTAAAAACAATTAAAATATTATATGACTTTTATTATAATTAAATAAATATAATCTTTTTCAATTATTACTTAAAAAATATAGTTTTAACAAATAGATCTGAATATTGAGTAGTTTATAGAATGTTTATATTGAATTAAATTAATAATTATAGTGAAAATGATATTTATTTACAAGGAAAATATTATAAAAAGAAATATATAAAAGATATGTATGTCTTGTTTACATCTTATTACTGATAATATTATTTAACTTTAAATTCTTAGCCAATAAAATTTCAGTAGATTTGATAGATACAGTTTTTAGAAAAAATTGAAATTTATTTATATAATTTTATTTCTTTCACTTTTGACTAAAAACTAATACTCAAGTCAACCAGAAAATTAGAAAAAATATAAATATGAGTGAAGGTGCTTTGTAGTATATTTACAAACTGTATTTGATGATAATATTACAATTTTATTAATACAAAAATATAAGACTTCTGACAAATGTTGCTTTGAAAGTAGTGATAAAATTGATCAGTAAAAAAAGTTTTGATTGTTTATAATATTTTATTATTTGTTAAAAGAATTAAAAATAATTGGTTTTTTTTTTTTAGAAAAATTTTTATAGTAGAAATTAAAAGTATTAGTTAATTATATTAGATTAAAAATTTTTACCAATAAGTAAAAAGTAATAAAAATAATTCTTAAAAATTTTTCAAGTTGTATTAATAACAATATTAAAATTTTATTATTACAAAAGTTATTAGACCTCTTGTACATATCTTTCTTATATATTATGAAAAAATCAATAGAATGGATTTATATTATTATTGTTGTTTTTTTACTTTAAAAATTTTTGCCAGTCATATTTGATAAAAACTGCATATATTTTAAAAATTGATAAAAATTTTAATAATAGTATAAAATGATAATATACAGTATACACAAATCAAAATATATTTACCAGAAATAACAAATATCAGTATTACTAAAAACTATTAAATAAACTATAATCCTTAAAAAAAAAGAGTGGATATAGAGTATTTTGAGAGTTGTATCAAATAGCAAACATTATTATTATTTTTCTGTAATTCGGTAAATTTTAATTTTAATGAAATGATAAAAAGAAATGAAATACTTTGCAGAAAATAAAGTAAAAAAAAAATTTTTTTTTTCGAGACTTTAATCTTCAATTAAATAAAAAAGAATGCATACGTATACATTGTTCCAGATTACTATAATAAATTTAAGTATTTATTTACGCATTTGCTTATAAAACTTTTTTTGTGGATGAAACAAAAAATGAGAGCCACCGTATCTACAACAATTTCCTTTTTTCAATCAATTTTAATTGGTACATTCTCTAATTCAATAGCAGTTTATGCAAGACAAGAATCAAGATAATTGGCAATTTTAGTATAATTCTGCCTCCCTTTAAGTCAACTCTTGCAAAGCGATTCGCTCCTCCGAAAGAAAATATTCAGACCGAAAAACAGTTTGTATGGTGCCCCGTATTCTGCTTTGTGAACTGGTTCAACTGAATGATTAAATGGTTTTGTTCGTCTTTTTTTTTGAAGGTTATTCACGCATCTATTTCACAGAGTAGATGTATAGCATGCATACATAACGGACGAGTCAAAGAAACCTTTAAAAGGAAATGAATAATATATGAACACTAAAATGGTAGGAAAACAATCAGTTGTTAGATGAAAAACATCAAGTTGGTTAATGCTCAAAATATTTTTTGGTCGCATTCTTTGTCCCGTTTCAGAACAATAGTATCGCACATATTTTTTTTAAATGGTATTAGAATGTCTCATGCGTACAATACGTAAATGATTCAATAACTGTTGTTGTTGTGTTTGTCATGAATCCAATCATCTTAACTTTGCTAAGACCGCGACCCGAAGCAGACAGCTTGTTAAATGCAGGGCAGGGTAGGGTAATGCGATTTTTCACATCCACGTATTCATCACAGGCGCATATGCGCGCGCAATGTGCATAGTCTTTGTCTTTAATGCACATCGGCTTTAATTTACATATGAACAACCACAATGAGCCAATATAAAAAGTCACCTGAAAAAAAAAAAAGAGATGAAGAGATCAGGTGACAGTAGCAGCTCGTTTACAATAGTTTCCTTATACAACACACCGCTCAATCCATTATTATTATTATTATTAATTCCTTGACGTTGTCGATTGCAATAGATCACTTGTGGGGTAAGATCACATTGATAATGACATTTAGACCAAGTACTGGAAGATAACAATGACATTTATTTGTGTTTGACGTGTTTACTGGACATTGTTGGGAGCATTGTTTGTCATTGGTGTATTATCAAATGTTTTTTTTTTTTTTAAATACGTGCAACAGTGAATCTATTGTTTATGTGCTGTACGGCAATCGCGTATGGAAGCTCGGTATAACCAATTGTAACTTGTATCATAAATTTCGGTACGCGGTGCGTTATCAAAAGTACTTCGAAATGCGTAATGTTGCGTGAAAATATCGAGTAAAAATCTTTTTATCATCCATTCATAAGAAATGACATCCGGAACTTCTTTAAACCATGCAACGGTAAGCTGTTGTTCATATAACCCCCCTTTCAAACGCATATACTGTAATTTGGGCTTACAAATCGAATTGGCGCTTGTTGAAAATATGAAATAACATTCAAGTATATGTAATGCAGATTGCGATTGTTCTACACAGGAATGTTTGCGGTGGTCATAACTGACGTCCTGACGATCATCCTTGTCATTGATCGTTACAAATTTATACCTAGCGCGCGCGTTTGTCTCTGAAAACACCCATAACACCATGTGACGAAAAATTTTTCCGGAAATCTAAATAATAAGGAGTGATGATTCTTCATTAGTGACGAGTGACACGCTAGTTTAAAATTGTTCGTTGTTTACACAAAGGGAACAATAGCGTTCATCAAAGTAGTTGAATTCCGGATTTGCATCGAGTTTTTATGAAAATGCTTGTAATTTTTCCATTGTTATTATTATGCTTATTGTGCTAAGTACATACAGTACTTTTTCTCGTAAATAGCTCGGGCAAGCATTATGAGTAGTCGAGAGGGATGAATGTTTCCATAATTATTCGATAGCTGCATGGAAAACCGGTTTGGACTCAAAAGTGTGTATTGTTGATCTATAATTGTGGGGAGGTGTCAAGAAAAGGCAAAGAAAGTTTGCTGCGCGGAGATAAAACATCTTGATACGTGATTTGCACACACGACAACCGAAGAACTACGCATGTGCATATCGTACAATATCTAGTTTTAACATATTTTTTTTCCTTCTTTTTCTTTTCTTTTCTTTTCTTTCTTTTTTTTTTTTTTCGAGGGTAATAAATACAGTAAAATTTTAGAAATTCGTAGAAAAAAAAAATTTTTTTTTTTTTTTTTTTTTTTTTTTTTTTCGTCCGCAAAAAAAATCAATCACCTGATTCTAAAAAAAAAAAAAAAAAAAAGAATCTTCATTGAATTCTTAGCTTTACCACACGTAGTCCCATTTGTTCGTCCAGATTCGTTCGATAAATGTTTGACGAACTATTCCGACGTCACTCGATAATAGATCGACTCGATCAAAAGTCGCTATATGAAGAAGAATGCCGTCGTCTAATAGGCATCGTCGAACACCTCACCGAACAACGTAAAGAAACCATCGAAGTAATACGCACGACCAATACTTTTATTAGCGATCTGATCCTTTCCCTGCAGTCGCACAACCCTCAAAAAAAGACCCTCACATCGAATCCCAATGGTGCAGAGAATGATCAGAGTGGATTATTGGACACGATTTCGAAGCAAATAAATGAAATGCAGAAAGTAATTGATGACAATCAGGAAAGCGTTGAGGGAGAGGAGTTTGTAGAAGTTGATATCAATGGTGATGAAAGGGAGAGCTCATCTTCAAGACAAAATCTTTCAAATAGTAATGATGAACTCGTCCAAAAATACAACGACGAGGGTCTGAAAACGGAACTTGTGATCCTCCAAAGTCAGATAAACCGTCTCAAAGTTGAGCAAACTAAAATAACCGATTTACTAGAAGATCACAAACATTGTAAATCCTCATCTTCATTGAATAAAAGTAGTGGTGGGGATTATCGCAGAAGATCACCTGCACAGATTCAAATTGAGGATGTCGACTGTGATGGTAACGACGATGGTGAAGAGAATAGTTCGTCGTCACGAGGAAGCTTCGGAACCAAATTAAGACGAAGCACATACCTAGAAAACGAGACCTATACTGATTTGTTGAAACGACAGGATAGAGAGATAAATAAATTAAGGCAAAAATGCAAAGAGTATGAGGAAACGATCAAAACCTCGAAATCTTCTAGAAGAAGTGACGATTGTAGTATAGAAGTTCACAACACTAGCAAGAATAAAGAAGGGAATTCGAGTTTTAAGTGTGACATCAAAAAACTTCAGAAAACATTGCAAAACTTCACATCGATAACCAATACCAATACCGAGGTCAGCCAGGAGCAAGCGAACTCCCTCTTGGAGCTGTATCAATTGGATACTATAAGATCCGATCCGAAAATTTCAAAGAAAAGATTAAGCTGCGCGTTAGAAGCACAGATCGTCAAACGTCTCATCGAGCAATTGGACGGCTATTTCTCCATCAATGATTCGACCGACAATGCGGGAGATTATGATGAGGATAATCTAGAATTGGACATAGTGTTCACCACTGATAAACTCACGACCTTGATGACAAAATTCGTGCAACGGCGGTCGAACTGTGACGAGTTGGCAAAGCAAATTCCGAAACGGATCAAGAAAGTTGTATATGAAATGATGAGCAAGCATGCATTTTCGCTAAACTCAAAAACATTTGATGACAGCAAAGTTCGTTCTTTTGACAATACAAACCACCCATTCATTGCATCGCTGGTACAGCAATTAGTGAATTTCATGGATCAATATAGAACCATCCGACATTCCGAAGGATCAATAAATGTACAAAGCGAGGCCGAAAAGCTCATCAGAGAGTTCATTTCAGTGATGTGGTTCAGGACAAAAACGCTGGATCCTGCGCCTCAGATGCATTATTATCCTAAAGGGTCTGGTGTAGATGCAATGTATATGAAGGAGGATATTACTAATGTAAGAGATACAGGGAAGGGTGTGATGATAAATGGCGGAGACAAGGGTGCCGTGAATAATGTGATTAATGGATGGGATAAGCAAGAGAATTTCAGTGTGGAGATTTGCTATTTCCCGGCGATATTTGACGAGCAAACGAACACAGTGTACAGTAAGGCACAGGTGCTAACTAGGAAGTCGTGAGTACTCACGCGACCGGATGATATCTTGATAACATACGGAGATTCTTGTATATACTTACTTACTTATAGTCTTCTCTATTTAAAATTGATCAAAGTTTCCAATATAACTCTACCACTATTCTCGACTAGACCACCGATATTTCTTTATCTAAAAATTATAACAAAAGTATAAATACATATATACATAGTTGTAAAATAAGTAAATAAATAAAAATAAATATTTAAATATCCCATGAAGAAAAAAAGTAAAATTCATTCTGAGATATTTGCCGAAAAGACGAAGTGAAGTATATACAGTGTGCATAAGACTGCCATGCATGAATGGTAAATGTGTGTCTAATTTTGTATTCTTGATACTATGCAAAAAAGCAAAGCAAAAAAGTCTGTGATGATAATTTATATTCACAAACAAAATTTTTTGACTTTCTTACTGTATATTATAATGAAACTCCAATGCGCTTCGATTATGGAATTTACATGATCGTGAATAAAATGTCTATCAAGCATAACCTATGTAAAACACGTATCATACAGAGAATCTCTGGAAATTATTTAAAATTTAATTTGAAGTATTTTAAGATTATATATTGTTCGCTGTGAAAGCTTATTATTGATTACAGAAAAATAAATAAAATTTTCGGAATACATATGACACGTCGTTTAGAATCAAATTCTTCAATTTGCAAAATGGTGATATAAAGTTTACATTTCTTTAAATTGAATGTTTGGAACTCGTCCTTTTTAAAACACGCGAATCTTATAGATTATAACAATAAAAAGGTAATGGTTACAAATAATAATACTTTTTGCGATCATAATGTATTTAATCACAGTATTTTAAAACATGAAATGCATCATTGCTGCTACAGCAAAATCTCATCTCCAAACAAACAACCTATATTAATTTTTAAATAAATATTTTTTTTAAATCAATCATTATTATTGATAGATTATTATTACCAATTGTTTATTGATATAATAAAGACAAAAATATATTATATTATTCGCGAGCTTATAACATAGTGATTAATAACTTAGAATCATAATAAGCAAAACTCAAATTTAAATTTATTGAATAATGAGCTTGCTTATTTATTATTGGATATAGAATTTATTATTCTCGTCAAATAATGAAAACAGATTTCGCTAGTATAACCTGATAATATAATGTTTTTTAGTACCAATTGTCATTTTATCAAGATATTCTAATAAAATCATAATAAAAAACTGTAATAGAGTATTTGTTGTATTTAACAATTTGATAAATCTTATTAATAATAACAGGAGCTAAAATTTTTTTAGATAATATATATATATATATATATATATATATTTAAACAAAATTAATCAAAATTGTGTTTTCAGAAGCTAAATTATTATCAAATTTAATCAAATATATCAATAAAAACTTTGAAAATCCTTTTTAATTAATGTTATATAATATTTAAAAGAATAATAATGTTTTGATAAAAAATTGACAATATCAAATTTGATAATATATTGATAAAAAATTTAAAAAATTTTTATTAAAAAATCTATATATTGCTATATCATATTCAACAAAAAATTTGTATATTGTAATAATAAATTTAGTAAAAAAATTATAAAATCAATATAATTTAAATGCCATGGTAAAAGAATTGAAAAAGAAGCAAGAAAATGAATCAAGAAGTCGCAAAGTACAACTTGTAATCAGTTCTGAAAAAAGGTTTGAAATGCAAGATGTGAAAGGATAATATAATGGAAACCATTACAAGGAATCCAAAAGAAGAATAAAATAAAAAGACCTCCTAACCTTCCAGGTGCCAAAACTATATAGCTGGAAAGGAAAACTCTGACATTGAAAGAAGGAAGATTAGAAGATAAAGACCTAAAAGATATCTTATTAAGAGGGATTAGATTTGGGATGTGATGGTTGGGTTTTGAGTAATGTCAGAACTTAAAGAGTGATCTGCAGTAGTGACCTGCAGGCAATGATATTAAGAGT